TTAAAAGCTAAATAATGGTATTGGCATATATTGGTCATCAACTACAGCAGCAGTCCAAATATCAGTTCCATATTGCTCCATCCATAAAAATATTGAGACATTTTACAAGGAGGTTGTATAAATGTTGTTGGACATGGATTCAAATAACTTCAGGTGACCTTTAAACATTAGGCAAGTTTGTGCACAGAACAAGCAAGCAACTGATATTGATTTTTGCTATAAATAACTGCACGTATAAACATGAATCACATTTTCTCTAGCTTCTAGTAGTTGGCTTTGTCACAATCTATGACGAATGATTGATAAAAGTTTTTAGGCTCATTATTTTTATGTGTGCCTAATATGAGCACTTGTATCATATTATTTGTAATTGCACTTGTATTTTTGTATTAAGACTTAAGAATATGAGACATAGAGTAAGTCAAAAGAGACAGTAAGTCATAATCAATACTAATAGTGATTTTCAATACTATTGACAACCCTAGATACTAACTATACTTCAGTGTTCTCCTAATTAATAGTTGCACATTTAGTTTTTTTTACCTCCGCCAAGGAGGTTATGTTTTTGCCGGTGTTTGTCTGTTTGTTTGTCTGTTAGAAACATAACTCAAAAAGTTATGGACCGATTTTGATGAAATTTTCAGGATTTGTTGGAAATGTGAAAAGGAAGAACTGATTTCATTTTGGGGGTGATCCGGAAAAAATCCTGGATTCTGGATCACTTTGAAATTTTAGTTAACATTGTGGTAAATGGGGCCAAAAATTTGGTTTCTCAATATCTCGGTTAATTATTGACCAAACCCCATGAAATTTGACTCAGGGATGGACAATGGGATCCTCTTTCATATTCCAAAGGCTGATCCGGATCTGATACAGAAGACTGATTTTATCACAATTTATATAAAAAATGGGGGTAGTCCTTGGTGGAGTCCTTTTCTAGTTTTTTTTTTTGCAGTATTGTACATATATATAGAAATGGGGTTTATCTGAGTTATTCTGTTAGTGGCATAAAGCATTTTTATATTTATATTTCACAGCTTTGATCTCGTTTTACTGCATACTTTTAAGGCAAAACTTCTTGCTTGTTTATCAAGCCAACATTGAACCGTTATCAATGATGTCAGCAAATTGTCAGTTTCTGCAGAAAAAAACAAAACAAAAACAGGAATACCAAGAAGTTTCAAACTTTAACCTACTTCTGCTTTGCCCCTAGGCAATCTTTTCCCAACAATGGGATGCTTCTATAATGACAATGCGCATCCCTTCTCTATGTAGATTCAGTAGCTGTAACAATATTCAGCATACAGGAGAAACTGCATTATTCAGCTATGGGGCACTTGGGTCCTTATACGTTACTTTCTTTGCAAGTTGATTCCAGCATCTATTGTCCAGAACAGTGTTCTGATTGTTAATGTTCTTAACACACTCACTGACAGCACACCAGTTCGTTTGGCTGTAGAGCAAAAGTGCGGTATTATATAATAGCATATTTGGCCAAGTTGTTTTTCAAGGTTTTAGGGAAAACTGCCTACAATGTCAATAAGAATTTAATGTTCAATGATATATTAATTTCACAAAATTCTATGAACTTTTGGTAAAATGGCTAAGTCAAACATACTATTGTATTCCTGCAAAACAGTAGGAGGGGCTTGATGATGTCATACGTTTTGTAAGAAAGGAGTTTTACCGTTTTGTAGACCCGGAAACTATTCTGCAAATTAGGAAGCTTGAGTTTACCATTTTAAAAAGGCCTATATTACACCATTTTCTGATCTGTTATAATGTTGCTTCCTCGTCACAAACATACCTGGAGTTGTGTTTTGTTTCATTTACACATGTTTAACACACAAATCCTGCATATTTAGCCTGGGTTCTTCTCTCATACCAAAAATGACTCACTTCCACCCTGTGATGTCATGTGGTAATACAGGAAGTGTTCCACTGTGTTTTTAAACTCTAGAATCACATCACTAGAATCATTTGGATGATTTGCCCTGAAACTGCCAACCTCTACTGTAGGTTAAAGTAGGTCAAAGTTTGACTCACAAGGTGGAACAGAGCATTTTGAGCTTTAGAGATGCAGACAGACTAATAATTATGGGTTACTCAAACATGTGAATGAAAAACATATCACCAAGTATGTTTTTGATAAGGTAACAGCATAATATGGTTAACAGCTCATAAAAGTAAATTTTGTAAAATATGGGACATTTAACGTTTCCAGTTAGCCTTTGTGAAACACCTGATTTTTTTGTAGGACTTATTGTTGCACTTCCAGGTACAGTCTTAGTTTTACAAACATTTGGTCCTAGGAACAGGTACTTCCCATAGTTCCTCATTTTATTTTATTGACAAAACAAAACGCATCACAGTCACAGAAGCATATAACAATTTTAAAATCTGATTAGAGAATTCTCATAGTCGTAAATGTAATCACTGCAGCTTTTATCATGGAATATCTGACACAGACCTTTAGTCCAGTAATGGCAGCCTAAATTATGGGAAGCTCCTTGTCAACACATCATGCATTCTCACTGCAAATGTTTTTATGTTGTGTACACCAATACCTAGCAACATTTTATGGGTTCAGCCTCATCGCTATCCATTTACAGGGCAGGTTGGCTTTCAAATGTTGACTGTAGCCTATGCCTGTACTGTAGGAGGGAGAAATGGAGGAGTGCCATGTTGCGATATTTTTATCCCAAAGTGTGGCAGTAACATTGGAACTAGCAGACTGCTGGAAATAGCATTTACTACAGTTAAACCTGAATCATCTGAACTTGAAAAAGTAGAAGTCACACCTGGATTGCAGTTCAATTTACTTCATTTGCATTCTTCTGCATATGCAAATTGCCTAATTCTACAGGCTACACTGTGCATTTTCATGAAATAGTTTTAAACAATTGATAAAATGATAAAATATGGCTAAATTTGATGGCATTTCTTAATTGGCTACTATAATAATCTTAACCAGGTAAATCAAGAAGCGGTTTGCTGCTTCTTAAGTTGAATAGGCTATACAATACGTTATCAAGATCTATTTTTGCCTAGGTCTGACACCATTTTTTTTTATATAACTGCGTATATATATATATATATATATATATATTTTTTTTTTAATGGTTATTGTGTATTTCTTTCCTTATTTTTTGTTCATTTCTTTTTAATGATTTGTTTATTAATTTATTTATTTCCTTTTTTCATTTTGACCTTCATTGTTTCATTGTTTTTTTTCTCCCAACTTTATTTATTTATTATTTAATTATTTACTTGGTATCCCAGTTTTCCAGCTCGACTCTTCCAGTCATTATCATACAAATTATACATCCCTTTTGAATTATTCAGTCGCCTTTTCTGTACTGAACTACCGTGCAGGTCCCATAGCTGCACGATAAACAATAAACCTCATAATTTTTACCTGTTGACCCTCTTCGTATACCGTCCGTTTCTTCCTTCTCCCCCAGGCCGACCGCTGCGTCTCCATGCGCCGCGGAGGTGTCACGACGGTCGGCCTCGCCTGCTCTCCTCCTCCGCCGCTTCTCTCTCATGTTCTTGAAGATTACGAAACCCGCCACGACACATCCAATCCCCACCAGCGTCAGCAGCACCGCGGGTCCATGGCGCGCAATCATGCAAAACAAGGACGCCAAATCTATCCGCCTCTCCATGGCCACGGTCTTTTTCAGCGGCATGTCGACTCCAGTGGTGCCCGGTGAATGTGCGTGGAAGCCCGGTGTGGATGCGGGAGGGAGAAGCCGCTGCTCTGGGCTCCCACACAGTCAAAGTGGTGTGCTTTGTGGAGAGTAGTGACCTCTTGTTGCTGCGCAGAGCTGCTGCTGCAAACTGGCGCAGGTGCGTGGAGCTGATTGGCGGTGGGAGGATCACGGGGACAGTGTGCTCATTCATAAAAAATAGAAATGCACTGTTTATGAAAATTAAAACACGGTCTGAAACTAAAGAGCTAGTGTGATGATTTAGTGTAGGCTTTTAAAATAATTTGGCCAGTAAGTAATTAGCGGTCTGTGAGAGTATTAGCCAAGCGCCATTAAGGTGATGTTAGTTGATAAGTTTGGGTATGTGGATACGTCTATTTTGGTTTTGACTATTGAGATCGTCGTAAATGGCCCTAGATATCAAGTTATAGGGAATACCTTACACATGAAAACCTAGGTCTATTTTCTATTCAAAGAACTTTCTACCTAAATATTTCTCCTGGCTTCAAATTTCACCACAAAACAGACATATTTTTGAAAGGGTCAAAATAAAAGTCCATAAGCCACTAAACTGACATCTATCATATTTAACTAAAAATCTAATAGCCCACTGGTCGATGTGTAGCTACAAAACAGTTCCACTTGACTATGTTTAAAGTGTCACTAGGGCAGCAGATCACGTTAATTACTAATTGTTGGCCTAGTTATTTGAAAGAAGTGCAAAGTTGCAAAGCTCCCATGTCTGACTGTACATAAAAAAAATCATTTATTCTAAAAGAGAATAGGTCTATACAATTACGATTATATAACACAATATGTTATACTGTACAAAATCTCCTCTAAAATGACATAAATTACAGTCCAGTCCATGTCTCTTCAGGGTGCGTTCTCTGTCCTGCTGATGTCCAGTGTCACATGTCCCTCTGTGTCTGTCACCCTGAGCCTGTCCTCCTGCAGCCTTTTGATGGGCAGCTATGGAGTGTCCCTCAGTGTTCCGTGTGTTGGGGTTGTCCTGGATATAGAGCGCCCCCTCTGGAGACATGTAGCAGTGCAGCTCTTAAGGCTGTAGTCCTTCAGGTAGAGACAGCTCCTGTGTCCAGTGCTGCAGTGAGTGAGATGAGCGTCCAATCTCCTGCTGCTTCTTCTCTGTCCAGCTCTGGACCCTCAGCACCACGTTCCCCTATTCCACACTAGCTCCTCTGGTGAGAAGATGCGAGTGTCCAGCTTCAGGACAAAGGGCTGTCCCTCTGTGTGCTGTAGGGACAGGGGCTGAGGGACACATGTGTCCTAGAGCCTGGGCTCCTCCATCAGCTGCAGACTGTGCTGCAGCTCCTGAAGCAGATGGTTCCTCTGTTGGAGCAGAAGCCTCACATCAGGCCACAGGCCGCACCTGTACAAGTCCTGGGACAGGTCCGAGGCAGAGAGGGGTCTATAAGAGTACAGCATCTTCAGTGAGATGTCTCAGATCAGCGAAGTGTCTGCTCACTCTTTCCTTTGAGTTTAGTCTGACTGCAGCTTGACAGGTGCAGCACATTTATATCTTAATCCAGGACATCTGGAGACTTCAGGAAGTTTCCTGTTCTTTCCACATGTGTCCACTGAGGGGAGCTGTTTCTCCACTGTGGTAGATTTCACAGGCCTCATTTGGTTAAATCAATTTCTTGTTTATTCTTTTATCTTTCCTCTGCATCATCATAATGAAATGTGTGTGTTTGTTGTGAAATGTCAGCTATTTTGATCACTGTCAGATGAAGCAATTAGGAACTATCTGTGAATCGAGAGCTACTTATTGCTTCACTTCCAGCAACAAACACAAATATTTATTTTTTGAGACTCTCCTGTCACTCTACATTAAAAAAAAAAAAAAAAAAAAAAAAAACTTGACTGGGTAAAGATACAACCTCCACATAAAGTAGCTGAAGTCACTGTGGGCCTACTTGGATAGTTAATAATAACTTTTAAAGACACTTTATTATTCCACTTTTGTCTTGGTATTTCACACTGAAATACCAAACTAAAATGATAAATTATAGTCCTGTGAAGGTGGACTTTATAAACATAGAGAAGCACTTTCTGGATAACCACCAAATGACATGGGATCAAATGTTATGAGCTTTGAACTGAGTGATAGCCATTAAAGGGATAGTTCGGGATTTTTGACATAAATGTTGTCGCTAACATTCAGAGCAGTAAACAAAGTGAACCAGGCGCGGCTGTTACCTGGCGGCAGCGCGCAGTGATACGAACGGAAAGAAAATAGTGCCAAGCGATTATCAGGGCTAACTTTTTTGAAGTTGATGGTTTTGTGATGCAATTGTATCACTCTTTTGAACACATGTTATTTAGAGAAGAAAAACACTTTATTTTACTGTCCCCAACGAACTTTGCCGGACTACTTTCGTCAGCACCGAAAACGGCCAGTATCTCGGCTCACCGGACGCTGTCGGGGGTAAGTCAGTGTGGATGCACGACACTGCTCACTGGGATGCCATACAGATTTATGTCAAAAATCCCGAACTATCCCTTTAATGCCATATACCAGGGATGTTTCTAATGATACATTTTGAGGAAATTCAGTATGTGCAGTTAGCAACTTCTAGTGGCTTCTGTTGATAATTACAGAAAAAAGTTCCATGCAATATCTTTAAACCTTTAAAGTTGCATAATTCATGCATGTTTTTATGTTTTTTGAAGTATTTACTTTGGCCCTCCACTCCATATCAGCTTAGAAAGAAGACACAAAAGACATATGTATAAATACTATAAATATTTATTCCAAAATGTGAGAGCAAAACACAAACTTAGACAAAATAAGAACTACAAGTAAAACACTCAAATGTTTACTAGTAAATAGATTTAACATTAAAGAGTCCAGTCGATATCTCTTCAGGGTGCGTTCTCTGTCCTGCTGATGTCCAGTGTCACATGTCCCTCTGTGTCTGTCACCCTGAGCCTGTCCTCCTGCAGCCTTTTGATGGGCAGCTATGGAGTGTCCCTCAGTGTTCCGTGTGTTGGGGGTGTCCTGGATGTAGAGCGCCCCCTCTGGAGACATGTAGCAGTGCAGCTCTTCAGGCTGTAGTCCTTCAGGTAGAGACAGCTCCTGTGTCCAGTGCTGCAGTGAGTGAGATGAGCGTCCATTTTCCTGCTGCTTCTTCTCTGTCCAGCCCTAGACCCTCAGCACCACGTTCCCCTGTTCCACACTCAGCTCCTCTGGGGAGAAGCCGCAAGCATCCAGCTTCAGGACAAAGGGCTGTCCCTCTGTGTGCTGTAGGGACAGGGGCTGAGGGACACATGCGTCCTGGAGCCTGGGCTCCTCCATCAGCTGCAGACTGTGCTGCAGCTCCTGAAGCAGATGGTTCTTCTGTTGGTGCAGAAGCCTCACATCAGGCCACAGGCCGCACCTGTACAAGTCCTGGGACAGGTCCCAGGCAGAGAGGGGTCTATAAGAGTACAGCATCTTCAGTGAGATGTCTCAGATCAGGGAAGTGTCTGCTCACTCTGTCCTTTGAGTTTAGTCTGACTGCAGCTTGATAGGCGCAGCACATTTATAATCTAATCCAGGACATCTGGAGATTTCAGGAAGTTTCCTGTTCTTTCCACATGTGTCCACTGAGGGGAGCTGTTTCTCCACTGTGGTAGATATCACAGGACTTTTCTGTTTTTCTCAGTTGAATGTTCTTTGATCCATAAAGAACATTTGTTTACCAAATTAGAGTTAACATATCTCAGTAATATAAACTAGCCACTATTATGTATATTGACTAAACTAGTCATATTTCTGAATAAGGGCACAGTCATATTTCAGCTGTTTTTTTTTTTCTTTATTTGACAGAAATCAGTGTGCACATTCGATATAAAATATTTAATACAAATTCAAACATATAAACTGAAAGTTGTAAATAAGAAAATAACTTAAATAATCACCAATTTCATTAAAGTTTCTACATTTGTATGTAACATAATAATAACCCTAGTTGTATTAAAGAGCGATATAAATGTAGCCTGAGTCCACAAAAGCTTTTGTAGTGCTCCTCTGAATGAAATATAATGAATAATATATAACATAAATAAAAATAATAATGTAACTATATGTTACAATATGATGTTACATAAAAAAAAAAAAATCTATAATAATGCATTGTAATGCATTATGTAGCGCCTGTCAAGACACCTAAAGGTGCATTACATTACATTATCTATTCACTCCTCACCTGGTGTTGCTGCTACTGCAGCCACAGCTGCCCTGGGGCAGACTAATGTATGATAGGTCTGTTTACTACCAATCACTTGCTCACACACCACATTCATACAAGACAAGTATCTTGCCTAAGGACACAACACAAAGTTTTGTTGAATTTTTGTTAAGGAACTGTAATTATTGTCCTATAAAATCCAAACCCCCCACACACACAAAATCTGAAAAGATCATAGTTTCATCACAATACAAGAATGACTTCTCCATCAATAGCTGGAGTCTGGACTTAATAATTACAAAACAGAGGCAAATCAGTTTAAGTTTAGTCTGCACTGCTGAGGTAGATTCATCACACTGCCCTCTCTCACCCTTGTGCACAACCACAACAATTTGTTTGCTCTCATTTACACTTTTAAACCTCTAATGTCCGCCCCGCTTTCAAATGAAGGTGGTTATTTCTACTTGGTACAATTTGCCTCACAAATCACCTAAAGCATCGCATGCGTAGGTTCCGTAGATGGTTCCATAAAGCTACCATTTCTCTTGGGCTCCTCCTGTGCACCAGCAAAACAGACTTATAGGCACACGGATTGCCCCTTTGCGTAATGGGCAGATCGAACGTCAAGAACCCCGGATGGTGGCTCGGAACTACTCCAAGTTTACTCAAACACATGCCGAGATACACATCATCTATGGGGAAGAGGGACACTTTGTCAGAAATCTCTTTTAACCGTAATGCTAGTGACCCGGAGTACACCACCCCACCTCCGCCTGCATAAGCTGGATACACCCCTTGGTAAAAACTTCCAGGTATAAAGTACTTCGTAGATGGGTCCCGATTTGGTTTTGCGTTGTAGATAACTTCTCCAATGAACAAGTCCAATCCTTTGTCTGTTTCATTGGTATAGGCCTGCCATAAGTTGTGCTCCTCCCATTGTTTATTCAGGAAATCCACAAGAGCATCTGTGCGTACAAAGACATCATCATCACCTTTGAAGACAAAAATGGCTTTCGGGCAGTACTGTTTGAACCAACGCCAGAAAAGCACATCCTTCAGCGTGAGGTTGAAGAAGGTATCCTTGAAATCCCATTGTAAGATATCTCCATACTTCTCGCTTTCTTTCTGCAGTAGATCATGGAAGTTTGATTTGGGATTGGAATCTTGCTTTCCGAGTAAGAAAACTGTCCGGACTAACCCTCCTCTTATATTATACTCACCGCTGACATGCCCACTGCGACCCCATGTGTCACGAATGGCTTGCCTGTTTTCAAAGTTGCCCATTTGGGATTTGATTGCCATAAGAAGTAAAGGTGTGTCTAAAGTTTCGTTGTTATAACATAAACCTGGTTGATTGATAATGTAGGGGTACTCTCTACAGCGCATGGATGACACAAAGGCTCTCATTTGATCAGACATGGCCTTGAGTTCATTGGCAACGGTGTGTGATCCAATTTCAGGTATACAATTGGACACACACCCAACTGACGAAGGATCAAGCTTAATTTTGGTTTGTTGGACAGCCATGCTTGCGTTGCCTCTTAGTATCGGATTGTAGAGGCGATCACAGCCGTGTTGTAAGCTGTTCCACAAGGCTGAATCGATCAGCCTCAGGTTCCAGAAAGCGTTGAGTGGATGCGAAGCCATTTTAGCTGAATTAGAGGAGCTCCCAGGTGCAATGAAGTGGACAGGAATTTTGGGGGGCGCGTAGGATATGGTGACGAAGATGGTGACCAAGATGTACACAAGGAGGTGTCCAGTCATCATGAACGGGAGCAGGCACATGCAGAGCAGCCTCCCGTTGCATTTGCAGAATTTGCCCATTTTTCTATGGAGGATAACAAAAATGAAGGTTAATGTAAATGGTATTTTAAAGAAGATGCTTTTTCTTCTGCATTTTGTTCTTTGTATACCTCAACATTGATCTAAAATGGCTTAATAATAATTAATTAACTGAAATGCCCAGTTCTTGTGGCACTAGTGGCATTAGCGGCACTTCACAGCCTATGATATTTTTCTACCTTACATCTATGACCCAAACACTTTTATGATATTTCAAGAGCCCTGAATGCAGGACAAAATGGGATTACTCTTTGAATTATGAAGGAACACCGTTGCATGGTTAAAACCTCATAAAAGTCAAATTTACAATTGTATGTATCACGAATACAGGTAGGATGTAAAACTTTTATTGACACTTGCCAAATCAGGTTTTAATTACAAAATTTTCATCTAAAGTAAATTAAAATTAGTTGGTTAGACTTTTGTTAGTCTAGGCCTAACCAAACCAGAGACTAAACTCAGACTAAACTCAGAGGCAACCCTGCACACAACAGAAAATCTGTAATATCTCCATTTATAAGCAGGTGGCAGACTGTCCAGCAAAAAAGTTATAAAGTGCAACTTTATTGTCATGTCTTGAAACAAAAGCTAAACCAGAAATAAATGCCTTATTCAAAACTAAACTAAGGTAGGATTAAAACAAGCCAACATCAGTTAAAATTGGACTATGTCATCAAACACTAAACCAGGACTGGACAGCACCTAAAGTTTCACCAGAACTGAATTTGGTACCAGGACCAAATCTGACAAAGACTTAACAAGGTCTAACTTGTAAATACCCCAGAACTGGACAGTATCAAACTAAATGCTGATTTAAGACATCAGAAATGAAACAGCAAATGAATCCTGGGTACCGTCAAAAGTATAACCCACCACATTCTGAGCACCACTAGAATAAATTATAGACTTGCATTACGACAAAGCCCAGTCAACCCTGGGGAGGTTTTGTCTCCTTGGTGATAGTCCACAGGGGCTTATTATCTCCTCCTGTATCCACACCACGGCCCTCAGCTTGGCCTTACTCAGGTATACGCAAACAACCTACAGATACAGTGGCACATATGTCTGTATTTGAATGGATGTAAATAATTGTTGAGTATTTTGGTACAGGTTTTTCTGGCAGGAAGGACTAGACTGTATGTAGAAAATCAGACCTACTGACAACCATATGTTATTAAAGCAACACTATGTAATCTTCTGGAGTTGTATTCTTTTCCAAAAAATTGGTCTATAACAAAAAAAATTAAATAAATAAATTAGCCTAAGAGTCAGTTTTGTGGAAATGCAAGTCCACACACAGTAGGCCAAGGATGCATAATCTTCTAAAAAAAAAAAAAGAACAACTTTTGTTTAGTCCAAACAGTTGGGCTGTAACTTGGTACAGGCTATGATCTAGTTACAACATTTAATAATAGTCTAATAGCCTATTGAGAATTAGATGGCTTTGAAATGATGTTTTCTACAAGTAAAGTGTCACTACAAATCAAATTGTGACTATAAACCCTACAAGCTCCTATACACTATCAGACAGCTAATGAATTAGAATTGGAGATTGCCAAATAGCGTGGCTATTCAAGTTATAGGTTACATTAACACCTTAAGAGTTGGAATTCCCCCTTATAAAATGCAAGGTAGGCTAATTATTAGTGCTGATCTACTTACAAATAACTGATGTGATCCAAGAAGAGAAAAACGTAACGTCAGTTCTAGGGTTAGATGAAGTTTTATAACCGGACTTGTTTGCGTAATTTGCGGTCCTTATCTGTAGTGCATCCTTTGCTCATGTGTGCATCCATGTCGAGGGTGCTGATCGCTACTGGCAACTGGTCCCATAGGTGAGGCAAAGTCTGCGCAGCATCCGCCTCTCTGTGTCCATCATAGCGTATTTATAGTCTGCATGACCATGAGGCAAATACGGGGATTTGGAGGATGCGTCTTTTGGTCCCTTACCGACAGTCAGACTAAAGAAAGATATGAAAAGTTTGTGATTTGCATTTTTGAGCCGCAGTGCTTCCTTAACATTTGCATACAGTTCGTATGCTTGAGGTTTCGACTCTATTAGCCTTCTAAAGTGGATGGTCTACTACTGCACTCAGCAAAAGCATAATTTTGATTTAGGCCTAGGTTTACTGACTTCTCTCTCTCTCTCTCTCTTCTCTCTTTTCTTCTTGGCATTAGCTAAATTGACCTATGCTCATACCTTGCCTAGGCTAACTGCATTTAGGGGGCATGCTCCATTGAAAACACGATTTGGCTATATTATAACATTTGGCCCAATTAAATCACTTCATTTCAAATTTGACAGGCCTAGAATTTGGGCTATAGTCTATAAAAATCTTAAAGGGATCTTCTGAATTGCACTGAATAGTTGGAAGTGATTGAAAATTGGCCTATTTGAGATTATTATGTAATTTGAAGAGGACAATCAAGGTACCCACTCCGAACATCGGCGACATACCTTCGTGCTCCGCTCAACAATAGATGACTGACATTTTTTCTGACCAATAACACGAAGGCCTGGCAACAGGTTATGGAGTAAACGGAGCAACACAGCCAATGGGAAGAGACGGAGGCGGGACTTAGCCGCTCGGTTTATGTTTTGAGTGAAGCCGTACATGTTTGGTTGAGCACTGAATGAGGGGCCATCATCCCGGCGGCTGTGTGGAGGAATATCCCCTCAAAAGTGTCTTTAAACGGCTTTATGATGAGGACACGGGCCTGTAGTACGGGCACCTGAGTGACACACAGCATCTGTGGACCTCCTCCGTGGGTAAGCCCGTGCTTTTATTCACAGCAGCAGCAGCTTTTGTGCGACTAAACGTGCAGCCGACCTGTTTATTTGTCTGTGACACAAAAGTAGCAAGCTTGCTTGCTAGCGGATTTTTCCTGCTCGTTTTTAGATGCGAGGGGAGGAGGTTTGGGGAATCAGTCATTTGGAGACAAAAGAAGCCAGGATTTGTGTAGCTTACAGTCCAGTCCCCATACTGTTCCAGTTGAATACGGTCCCCTTTGTGGTTAGTGCGAGCCTATTGGAGTCTACATCCATTGTTGGGAGATGTGAGGCAGAGCGCTGCTGCTGTAGCCTTTAGCCTTTTCATAGCGTGTGTGAATGTTAGCGATGTGTGCACGCAGAGGTAACCCAAACATATAGGTTCTCACACAGAAAGCACTCTGTGCAGACTAAACAAATGTGTAAGATGTGCTCACAAGGCCCTGAAAGCACTAGTCAGCATTAGAGCAGTAGACACATGCAGTGGGGCCATATCAGCACGTTTTGTGCTTTTTGTTTCTTGCACCGTGAGTTCTTATGGGGCTGCTACCACAGCCTACAGGGGCTTACGGTCCAGAGGTGTGCTACACTCACAAATGCAGTCTTTGTTTATTACAATGGAGTCCAGTACAGCTATAGTCTTCTTGTTATAGCCTACACGTTTTTATTCTACCGACTTATTTTGATGGACTTCTCCTATTTAAATTAGCTTCAGTGATAATACAGAAAGCATGCTACCCCACAATGCAGTCAGGCTGAATCTGTCTGGAAGAATTTCATGTGGCTGTAAAGTTAATTATTTCAGACATGCTTTGGTCTGTTCATTTTCCTGACCTGCACTAGAAGTGAGTAGTCCAAGGGTTAAGCCAGGGAAATGAATTCTTAGAAGAAGCTTGGACTTCCACAGTACCCCGCCGTTCTTATCCTTCCCTCCCTGGAAGGGCAGATAAAGAATCTACATCACAGGGGTATCTGTGTTTTAAGACTCATCCATCAATGGCACACAGCACTTACCCACCCACAAATATCTTTCAGGAGCGCTAATGCTGTTATTTAATTTTCATGTTTGTAGATAACTTCCTGTGTTTGCACTTACTCCAGAGTCTCTCAGACAGAAGCATCGATCTCAAAGAAGTTTAAAAGAGTAGTATTAACATAGACTTGCTTATGGAAGTTTTACTCAATCACAGCAGTTGTATGCATTGCCAAATCTGCTCACTAGGAAGTTGCACTTTGTTGGAATCTGATCATTGGGCTTCTTCAGTACAATGTGCTATAGTAGACTATTGTCTTTTTTTAATGGTTTGAATACAAAGGGATGCTAAATACATTATAAGTCTTATTGTACTTGTACTGTTGTTCATCTGTGTCATCAACCTTAATTGGCCCCGATTATAAAACAAAACAAAGTTGATGATACAAGTCAGCACTTGAAAATAGTGTTTATATACTAAAAATATAAAATAATATATACAATTTTTAAATTTTATTTCAAAGGAAATATCTTGATTCACCAGTGGAATGTAATTTCAACTCAAAATAATCAGTTTTCTTAAATGTAGTCTTATATCCATTAGTTCTACATTTAAGACTATTCTACAACTATTCAATATCAATACTTCTATAATAGTTCTAGTTAACATCTAGTTTTGATACTAGCTTAGCTTAAAATATTTAATATCAATTTTTTATTGTTTTATTTAAGTTTTTATTTTATTTATTTATTTTTTGACAATCCCAGAGTACCAGTGTTGAATTTAAGTTTTAGGGAATTATCCAACTTTTATTAATGTAATTGTTAAAGTAATTTCCACAGTATGCAATATTTCTCTGAATTTTTTTTTTTATATATATACTTTTTTTTTTTTTTGTTACGTTCATTACACTAAAAACATGAATCCTTACTGTGAGTGGGCTTGCATCTGTACAAACCTGACTCTTGTTTCCATAGAAAGGTTTATGCTATACTGTGGCAAATTATCCATTTCCATGAAAAACGTTCTGAAGTATAAATTTAACTTTCCATGGAATCATGCAGGTGACGTACCACCTCCAGAAAGTTCCCCTCTGTACCTTTTTAAATGATAAAATGCTATGTTACTGGTACTTCAGTTGTCTGACTATCTTTTTTCTCTTTTTGCCTAGGTTTGAATTGCACCAGCTCCCAGTTGCTTTCCACTTGAGACAGTCGAGGACAAATGCCTTAAGTTTCATATTCTAGCTTACAGACAACAGTATCTCCTCATATCCAGCCTTTCAGCTACAATCACAACACATTACTAATCCGCCACACTCCAGCCACCATGTCCTCCATCCTGCCTTTTACTCCCCCGGTCGTGAAGCGCCTCCTGGGCTGGAAAAAGAGCCCGAGCGGGACCAGCGGGGCGGGGAGCGGGGGCATCGGAGGCGTGGGGGAGCAGAACGGAGGGGGTCAGGAGGAGAAGTGGTGCGAGAAGGCCGTCAAGAGCTTGGTGAAGAAGCTGAAGAAGACTGGGCAGCTGGATGAACTGGAGAAGGCCATCAGCACACAGAACAGCAACACCAAATGTGTCACTATACCCAGGTGAGTTAGTCAAGTGAGCAGGTGGCGATTTTGTGTTCCGTTTAAGCTCTAAAATGTTCTTGACAACGGATGTAGTCTTTACCCTTACATTTTAAAAGTGAGTATTAACTGCTAACACATAACATATTTGGATCACAATGTTACCTTTTTATTGTTTTGAGTTTTCCCCCTACCACAACACAATCAGCAGGCATCCTGCTAATGAAACTACTGAGCATCAGGTTTGTGAAGTTGTATAGTTTGTACCCTGCTTTTGAATGTTAAGAGAATTGTTATGTGAGAACATGGGTGACTTAGGCTTGTGGGCTGAGCACTGGACAGAATCTTACAGCAAACTGTAAGGAGGGTTTGAATAGTGCCCAGGAGAGATCACTAAATTACTGAAACATGCATGGTTACACTAAAAAACACTTCAGGCATGTTTTTGATGAGGAAACAATGTTATAACCTGGTAGAAAGCTTTAAAAATGAGTTTGCCTAATGGCTTAAACAAAAAGTTAAGTTTGAGCTTACTGGGTACATTTACATGGACAGTAAAAATTTCATAACTACAATATTCCGGCAGCCGCATAAAAATTAGGTAACTGTTGTGTTTGAAGACAAAGTACATTGACAGTACAGTGAACTTTTAAAATCACTTTTTAATCTTAAATGTCTTTGCCCCACAGATTACATTACTCACATCAAATGTAACCGTTTACTTAACATTTTGATAATCTCCAGAAATCGGATTTTGATTGGATTTTGGTATGACAATTACCAGAATTAACAGAAAATGCATCTCAACTTTTGCTTTCATAAACCTACATTGTAGATTTGAAAATGCCCGAATCTTTTGTTGATGCCAATTTCCTGTGTGAGTTTCATTTGCATATATGCAAATAGCAGTAAATTGGATCCAAATACAAATTATGAAAATGTTTTAAAAGTGACTCTTTTTGTTATGGTTTCAATTAATGTAGTATTTGTAGCCTGATGATTTTATTAGTAACTAAAATGTCCATGCTTTACTTTATATTTTGCCTTATTTAATTTGTTCTGAAAATGGGCTTGGGCAATATAAGTTTTTTTTGTTTTTTTTCTGCTTTGATAGAGCATGATTTTTTTTTTCTTAATTTAATTTCCTGAACATAAACAATACAGACTTTTAATCATTACCATAGACCCAAGCATATTAACGATTTAAAAAAAAAATGGCCAAATCAAATTTGGTTAATTGCAAAGCCCTATGTTATTGAAAAGAAGTCAAGTTTTAGTTTCGAGTTGCACTATTGCCCTCCGGAAATGTTATGACACCACATGAACATGAACCAGGATTTACAAGATATTTACTAAGGTGAAGATGCACACTGGATGTTTCTAGCTACGCCAAAGAAATTAAATGAAATAACTTTTAGCCACATTCAGAATGGCAAAAAACTAAACTTATGACCTTGGCAGAACATCCATAAAAGTGAAATCAGGCTGATATTGCATTCAGAGGTTTGCAAAGTATTTATTGTGTAATGCTGGACTGACTTCCACATTTGGTCATGGTTTAAGGGTAGTAGGGCAGCAGAACAGAAAATGCATTAGAGGAAGCAGATGGTCATTACTAATATAAGGGATATTCAACATGCTTACACAAACCCAGATTTGCTTCAGTGGTTAATTGAGATTAACAAACACCTCATCTATGCGCCACACTTTTCGTTTTAGGAAAGGTTAAAGTGGACCTATCTATCTTTTATACTCCTGTATTCATCTCTCGTTTTCACCTCCACTGGTACATGCTCACTGCTCTGTACTTACTTAAATTGTATTGTCTTAATTAGTGATACATGTAGGATTCGGCAGCATTGCATAGTCATATCTAAAAACATTTAAAGTGGAAGGCCGCAGGCTGGTGGTCAATGCATATCTTTGAGAGAGCCACTGTACCTTTTAATGAGGTACCTGGGATGTACTTTTTAGGTCTTTAAGGTCATAAAGTTCAGATTATGATCATTTGGGCCAATTCAGCAAAAGGCCCAAGGGCCAACAAAACTTTTGAAGGCTGCATTTGATTCTTGGGCCATAGTTTGGACTTCTCTGCTTTAAACACTACAATACAACCTTTATTTCATTTATATATTTTAAACCACTTTTAATTCTAAATTGATATGATGGCTTAACTAGTGGACTGATCAAACAAATGCTGTCAAGTCAACTACTAAAATAACTGTTAGTTGCAGCCCTAATTTGTACAAGTTTGGAGCTTGGTTATAATTCTCTTGACTTAATGAAGTCACCTTGCATTAATGTCACTATAGCTTTTAACTGAGAGGCTATCAATGTTCATTTATGTTAATTCAGATTAAAAAGCTGCAGCCAGTCTCTAGAATACCTCCTTACATAATTAAAAGTAACCTTCCACTTGGCTAGTCTCTTAGCTTAAAATATCTCCCACTTGGTCATCATTTAAACTTGCTTTCAGTTGCACAGTACCATGTTATTTTGATGGATAAAAAAAAAAAAAAACTAGTTGAGATTCTGCAGGTCCTAGGTCTTTAAGTATAGATTTCTCCAGAGCTGGCTTATTAGAAGCAGTGAAACCTTATCACGGTCAAACTGAAAGACAACTCAGGGCTAGCATGTGATTACTGCCAGTCAATCAAAGCTAGCTAAAAGGCCCACTCTTTTAAGATTGTGTCATATTTCACTATTGGTAATCCAAGCAATCAAACCCTGACCCTTTACTGTTTTACTCAGTTTTCTAATATTGAAAGAATACTTTTTTGTGAACTATTATGCAATATCAATCTTTTGAAGTTACTTTGACCACAATAAAAAGACCAGTCATGGAATAAGTGTTTAATAATGAAAATGACGAACCAACACGTCATAACTGGGACTGCACAATATAATGCACAAACATTAATATCAGAATTGGCTCAGCAGTTTTTCACCAGCATGTGCAATTATCAAAATGCAATCAATATGTTTCATCAAGGGCTAATATGATCCAGGTGAATAATTGGAACAGCTTGAAGGTCCAGCATTACACACTGTTGACTCTTGTGAGCTTTAAGTCATGTTAGAATGTTGTTACCTCATCAAAAACATACCCAGAGTTATGTTTTGCTTCATTCACACATGTTTGAGTAATCCTCTTATTATTAATCCGACTGTACTGCCAAATCTTAATTTTACATTACATGTCATGACATTATGTCATGTAGTAGTGGTTTTCAACAGCTACATCTTTTTTTTTTATTCAGTAAAGATTGGCAATCATCCAAATGATTCTAGGGTTGGTGTATGGAGTTTAAAAACAAAGTGGAACACTTCCTGTATAATCACAAGATGGAACATTTGTGTTTTCCGTCTGAGAGAAGAGCCCAGACTAAATATGCAGGGTTTATTTGTTGAACTTGTGTGAATGAAACAAAGGAAACAACATTTTAACATGGAACAGAAAATAGTGAAATACAGGCCCTGGGTGTTAGGATAAGTAAGGTTTGTAGGGCTAAATTAACATTTTTATACTTTCTACCATGTTTATAACATTCCCTCATTAAATCCTGAAGTGCCTGAAGTGGTTTCCTGAATCATTTATGCATGTTTAACTTTTTAATGTGTTGTTTTGGGCAGTGAATATAGCACATTCAAATGAACAAAAGGTGGTCTAAATATGTTCTGTTTTAGCAATTAATACCCCGTAATACCCTCTTTAAGAATGTATTTGACAAACGGTAAAGCAGTAAGGTGAAGATAATCAAATTTTAATCAAGTTTGAGATTTCATTTCTAATTGTGAATCGTGATCACTTTGAGGAAAAACAACTTGCTTATTTGTCATTGCATGGCCCTATGTTGACATTTGGGTTTCTACAGGACAGGAATAGTGGGACCTGGACTTGTAGTAGTAATACTTGAATGTTTCTTGTAGCTGTCATTCCACACTTCTTTAACATTCCTGGCTACTTCACAAGACAAAAGTAAGCCTGATAATTCCTGTCTGGAGATAGCCTGTGTGGGCCTTTTGGGAAGAGGTAGTCCATGTCTAAGGTCCTCTGTATCTACTGACACAGACATAAAGCATGGGAAACTGTTGCGGAAAATCCAATGACCTCAAAGAGCGATAAGGCGTGTTGTTTTTAAAAAATACAGTCAGATGCTACTATGAAACTCTTCCTCTATTGTTTTGGAAATAAAAGAGGAGTGATTATTGTGCAGACCAAAGATGCTGATAAGACATGTCTGTGTGGTTTTGAATCAGCGGTGTGGAAGTGGTCTAACTTTGTCAACCGCTTAGCCAAATTAATGCAACTATCATAAGGCATGTACAATTGATACTTTGCAGCTAATGTCATCAACGTTCTCTAGAGGTATGTAGCTAACTGGAGGTACTGCTCTGTCTGAAATTCTGTGACTGAAGTTAAACTTTAACCTGTTCTTTAATCTGAACACAATCTGACCAGAAAGAGCTGACTTAGTTAAAACTGCAGGTGAAATGATTTTTTTTTCTGTTTAGTCACTCTCACCTTTTTTTGTTAAACATCAAGCACCTAAATTGGATCATGAATGCTGATATTGATGAAAATATGTTTTTAATTCATTTTTTGAAATGAGTTTTCAAACTATTTTATTTACTCTAGAATTTTCCTTGTTGATGACCTAGGTAGAGGTATTCCATTTTAGAGCTCACTGCCACTTCCTATATTTTTGGACTAGTCAACTTTTTTCCATAAACTGCCACTTAACTGATGTAAAACTGTGATAAATATTTACCACAGTTATTCTCCCACCACATGCACTTTAAAGAAACTGCAGTTTGAGCTTGATTGACCTATTCCAGCTAAAATTATATGAAAATATATATAATAGTGAAATAGTGAAAATTGCATGTCCTTCTACATAAAATCAACTACTGTTGCACTATATGAGAAGTTTTCTTTGAGATATACTTGTGACCTTTTAAGAGCCAGAGGAAGGCTTCGGTTATAGATAGTATTTGCAGGGGCCGGTAGTGGCCCTCCTCTTGAGTGGAGAGGTGATAAGTATCCAGATAGTACACATTTCTGCACAGGAAGAACCGAAAGTGTGTTCATTGTGTTGTCATGTCAATACATTTGTGTAGTGTTTTTGATTTCTTCTCACCCTATTGACATGTATATTAATGTAACATGTTTTTCATACAACAACTGCATATCAAAAAGATGATGAGTCATTGCTTTAATGTGCTGGTGTAAGCAGACAATGCGAGAGATTGATTAAAACATCTGTGTTGGGAGCTGCAATCAAACTTTGCTGATTCTAACATCAGATGTCTAGGGCTTGGAATCTTTCTATTTTTTTTTCTACCAGACCGATACCTGAACAACACCATGTTTTTCACTGTTTCTTGAAACATATCAGGCCTTTTAAGTACCAAATAAAAGTACATTAACAATTTTTGAAGTGCAATATATTGCTGAAGTAAATATAGACTATAAACAATAATATTGAAACCTAAAAAAGTATTCTACAATTCTACAATATTGTTAAAAAAACACGAGCTGCAATAAGTAAATAATACAGTGCAACACTTATGTAAGCGATTCATTTGTAATTTTAGTTCTTAATTCAAACTTCTCCAGCTCAGATCCTACCATATTGCAGAAAGAATATCTGAAAATGTACCACTGAAACAAAGAAAAGGTGCACACAAATGATACATATTGACCCAGAAAAATTATTATTCTTCTAACATGAATTGAAGTTGATGTAATATTTATTGTGACAAGCCTAGTAAATATTTCTATTTTTAATTTGTATTTTGGTACCGGATTTTGTTACCATTTTGTTTTTCTAGAAGATTATACCCTATCATTCTTCTATACTGTAGTGATACCTTTTATAAATGATACCCAGCCCTAGGCACATCAAAGTAAATGACTTGAGCACAGTTTATCTTGACGCTAATGCTGCTTTCATGTGGTGTTGGATAAATCATAAGTATGACTTTTCGAGTCAAAGTTTTCTCTGTGAATTCTGGAAGTCAAAATGGAGTTCACTATAAATAACAGTGCAAAATATTTTGTACTATACACATGAATGCAGGTCGAGTGAACGAGCCCTGCCCTCAATGAAATCTCTCATTCAAACTTCCTGAAAAGTGATTGAAAAGCCTTGTTTTAACTTCTTGCATTGTCTGATCCTTCATGTATGTTCCATGTTGGATGGAGCGCTCATGATCACGCCATTTGTTTTCTTATTGGATGAAAGCAGGCAGTGTCTACTTTCATTTGAATAAGATGATTTTAGTATTCATTTGACTACTGACTCATGCCATGTTTACCATCCGTTTGCTTTTCTTTTGATCCTTTTTGCACTGTGTGTGTGTGTGTTGTTCTTGTGTGTCTGTCCTCCATAGCAATTGCTCAGATCTTTGGGGGCTAGGCTCAGGCCACACGATAGAGCAGTGGGAGTCTGCGGGCATGTACGGATACCAGGACCACGGCAGGTGAATACATCCTTACAAGCACTCCGTCTTTTAACTCACTGTCTGATCTCATTTCATATTACAGTTCAGTATGAATATAAGACACTTCCTCTGCTCTGTAGTTTGCGAGTCCAAACACATTTCACCATATAAACTACAATGAGAAGATAGGCATTACTAAATAGCATGCTGATAGGAGTGCTTATTTTTTTCCTTGAGAAATTCAAATTTAGAGTAGAACTTTATTTGTTTATTCTATTATGTGCGCCATTGTTAAATTGACTTGAACCAATTTCCATCATGACCCAAACCTAGACTGGTCATTTTGGTGAAAGCAAGGGTACCTTGTTACAAATGCAACCTTTTTAATAATCAACAACTCTTGTTAAAGGTGCACTATAACTTTTCTGGTGGTGGATATGTGATCTTGGGATCTCTTGAGAGATGTTGGCGCTTTGCTTTGAATGTTCCATAGAGGAGCTATGAACATGTCCATCTTGCATTTATAGAATTTGTTTTTCATGTTAAAAACTTCACTTGCTTATGTCCATGGAGATGAATAAGCCACATTGTGGACCCTCCACCAGAAAGGGGCACCTTTTTAAGAGCTTGTTAATAATTTAAAGATTAGTACTTTGGTTTGCACATTTTCAAATAATTAACCAAACCAATTCCTACCATGATCAAAAACCTATAAATCTTTCTGGATAAACAAGCCTAATCCCATGATATAAATCCCATTTCTCACCCATGTCACTTTGCCCCCTGACAGGTCACTGGATGGGCGCCTCCAGGTGTCTCACCGCAAAGGCTTGCCCCACGTCATCTACTGCCGCCTGTGGAGATGGCCCGACCTGCACAGCCACCACGAGCTGCGCGCCATCGACACCTGCCAGTACGCCTTCAACCTCAAAAAGGACGAAGTGTGCGTCAACCCCTACCATTACCAGAGAGTGGAGACGCCTGGTAATTATCCTCCAGACATATGCTCCATAAAACCCCGCCAGCTCAGTCCCTCAAGGTGTCCCCTGTCAAAGCTGTAATCATTGAACCTGCAGACGGAGACTACTTGTACTTGTTCTATTTTTCAGATTTTTTATTTTTTTTTAAAGGTAGCTGTTAAGGTCTAATCAATTATTCACCACAGGTCAACTAAAAAAATAACCGTAGCTGTATTTTGATCATTTGAAATTTGGACTAATACAGACTCTAAAACACATATGGAAAGACCTGTTTTATTACAAAAATGGTCAAAAAAAGAACAACGCAATTCTCATTTTCATCAATAATGCACCAATACACATAAATATTCTCTATCCTCTTTAAGCCTTCAGAGCAAATGCTCTTTTACATCAACCAACTAGTGGCAGTGTGAAAACAACCCAAGAGAACTGTAAAAATATTACTCAAGTAGGAGTAAAAGTATGCAGCTAGAAAAGTACTACCCACCTTGGGTCTTACTTTACACACATTTCAAGTTTTAAATACGTTTTAAGACAAATAAAATGTAGCAAAATTGGTAAATATGTTGATCAATATTGATTTGTGTTTTAGTGCTGCCCCCAGTGTTGGTACCACGCCACACAGAGATTCTGACCGAGCTTCCTCCTTTAGACGATTTCGCAAATTCTATCCCTGAAAACACCAACTTCCCCGCTGGAATCGACCCTCCCAACAATTATATACCAGGTGAGACATACACTTCAGGTTTTAACAAGTTTGTGTTTGGTAACTGACATACTCTTTCAGGATCTTGAAATAATGCCATGCCCCTAGTGTCCTGGCTTGCAGCAGTATTAAAGGGCCTATATTACGTTAGTTTCTGATTGTTCTGATTCTGTAATGTTGTTTCACATATTGAGATGTATTGAGTCATGTTTTGTTTAATTCTTCTCTAAAACAGAAAACACTCCACCTTTTTAATTTAATGTGGTAATACAGGAAGTTCTCAACTGTGTTTTTAAACTCCGTACACCTTCACTGGAATAATCTGGATAATCTCAACTGTGGAATTGCAAATCTCTGTGGTAGCTATTAACTGCAAACCACCACTACATGACATAACAAGGTGAAACAGAGAATTTTGAGCTTTGGAGATGTACTAGTAGACAAACTAATACAGATGACACAAACATGTGTGAATGAAACAAAACACAACTCCAGGTGTGTTTTGTTTTAAGTGACAACATTATAACAAGGTTTAAAGATCAGTTAATTTTGTATAATACAGGACCTTTAACATGCAAAATGCAGGCTGGACTTTTTTGTTGTCATTGCTCAAGGATAGTGTGCCTGAAAAAGTTTTAGAAACACTTTTTTAAAATGCATACAACTAGCTAGACACACTAATTGAGCTATTATCGGTCTAAGCTTTGTATAGAGCGACTGGGAACAGCTTTTACGTACATCATTACAAGGTTGACATCTTATTGGCAGCATTTTGTAATGTTTTTTGACTTTAATGTACAAATTGAATAAGTGGCCTCACCAGTATTTTTTCAGATGTACCAGACTAAGATTGCATTTGTCAGTTACAGGTTATCTAATCAAAGTTTTTTTTTAAATTTAAATTATTATTTTAAAGTTATAACTGCTATGCATTGCTTTGTTTGTATTCAGAGACTCCACCACCCGGATACATAAGTGAGGATGGAGAAACCAGTGACCAGCAGATGAATCAAAGTATGGAATCAGGTAAATTGTATTGTTGAATACTGACTAGACATACAGTGGAGCTCAACAGTCTTGTCCACTATGAAGTTCGCTCTGGTTCCATTAATTTTTCCCATAGACTTTTTGAAGAGTTCAAAGACATTGCAGAGGCTAACCAGCTATGTGGTAACTACTATCCATAAGTTATGGCTAATAGTGCTTTTTAGACTTAAACAACTGTGTTATGGACCATAATTAGGGGTGTCAAATTATCGCGTTAATTGCGATTAATTAATTACAGTCATATTTAGCGCGTTATGTTTTTTAATCGCGTTAATCTCATTTTTAATCTCTAACTTTAGTGTTTCTGTATGTGAGTTGCTTTATTATAAAACCTGTTTTTATGTGTTGTTGGGACAACAACACACACACACGCACAAACAAAAAACACATTTATACATTTTTTAATTTCGGCAATTCCACTCATTGTCGGAAACCCACACAAAACACGCGCAGTAAGAGCGACGTTTACGGCGTCAGGCACAATGGACGTGGTGGAAGAGCCAGTAGAACAGAGGCAGCAGTGCACAGATAAAAACACATTCGTGTCTTGGAAATTATTCTCCCGACGTGAAATATAAAAGAAAATAACACATATAATATCGCCTACAACTTAAATGTCACTGGTGAAAACAACCTGCTCATGATCTCTGCACTACTGTCCTATACACAAACACACACACACACAAACACACACACACACAAACACACCTTCATCATCGTCATTACCCTGAGAACGCGCGGACCACGTTTCCTTCTGTAGTTACTGCGCGGACACCGACGTGCTCCCGTGAGCCGCGTGTGGATCGTGTTTTCTCGCTACGCTGCGTAAACCGCGCTTCCTCCTGTGTGCCTCTAAACCAGAACTAACACCAAGACTAAAACCAGGACTTATCCAGTCCAGGTCTAAACCAGGACTAAACCCAGAACTAAACCCAGGTCTAAACCAGGTCTAAAACCAGGTCTAAAACCAGGTCTAAAACCAGGTCTAAAACCAGGTCTAAAACCAGGTCTAAAACCAGAACTAAAACCAGAACTAAACCCAGAACTAAACCCAGAACTAAACCCAGGAACTAAACCCAGGACTAAACCCAGGACTAAACCCAGGACTAAACCCAGGACTAAACCCAGGACTAAACCCAGGACTAAACCCAGGACTAAACCCAGGACTAACACCAGGACTAACACCAGGACTAACACCAGGACTAACACCAGGACTAACACCAGGACTAACACCAGGACTAACACCAGGACTAACACCAGGACTAACACCAGGACTAACACCAGGACTAACACCAGGACTAACACCAGGACTAACACCAGGACTAACACCAGGACTAACACCAGGACTAACACCAGGACTAACACCAGGACTAACACCAGGACTAACACCAGGACTAACACCAGGACTAACACCAGGACTAACACCAGGACTAAAACCAGGATTAATCCATTCCAGGACTAAACTAGGACTAAAGTAGGACTAAAGCAGGTCTAAACCAGGACTAAAACAAGGACTAAAACCAGTGATCTCATATATAAAACATTTCTCTATCAATAATATTTTTAATATGGTTAAGGAAAGACTGGACTTCTTATTGTCTTTAAGTCGACAAAAGTTATTATGTTCAGATTTCCTCGTCTTTGTTACTTTACAACAAACAGTTTCTTATTCATGGAGACTTGGGCTCAACAGACAATTTGGAGAGATTTGTTAAACAATAAATGACTTTATAAAGTCACTTTTTTAAATCTATATCAGTCTTTTGATCTGCCACAATAATGTAATAATGAATTTAAATGAAAATACCTCAAATTGAAGCTTTTCTCAGCAATTTTTAGGTGAGATTAAAATGAGATTAATTAGATTAATTAATTACAGATCATAATTAATTAATCTCTCAATTTTTTTAATCGCATGACAGCACTAACCATAACACAGTTGTTTAAGTCTAAAAAGCACTATTAGCGGATTATCCCTGAGCAACGAACATTCAAACTTGTAATAAAAGGTTTTTTGTTTTTTTTTTTGGAAAGAAATAATTGGAAAAAAAAATATTTACTTCCAGAACCAGGCTCCATACATACAGATAGTGAAGGTTGTTTAATTGTTTTTAGATTTGTAAAATTCTATTTAAGCAAACGGGACAAAGGTTAATAACATACGATTTCTTTCTTCCAGGTTCTCCATCGGAATTGTCCCCAAGTACTTTATCTCCAGTCAGCCATGGATTAGGTATGGACAGAAAGTTTAGCGATCAAACTTTGTTTTAATTTAGGCATGAATAAATTTTAAAAATCTAAATTTTAGTCTCACTTCAATGCCATAATGAATTCATAGTAAAAAATAATATAAAACAACTACCTAAAAAGGAAAAACTAATTTTTTTTTAAGAAAACACGTTATACTTTTATCTTGTTACATGGATCATGATTTAAAATTTTGGACATTTTAAATCACAATTTTGATGTACAACAACTCAATGAAAGATAAGGAAGTTCTGTTCTGCATTTGAGACACAATTGCACAGCAGTTTAGAAGATTACACAAACATGCTGAATTACTCAAATTTCAATTTCAAGTGAGGTTAATAATGAAGGTACACAATTAGAACGTGGTTAAAAGCTCTTCAAAATCAACTTTATGCAATGTTTATTCTTTGATGAATAACATATACTGTAGATATAGAGACAGATGGAATATACTGTATGGACATAGAATACTTCCCAAAATGTCTAATAATTTGCATGCTTTGTCCTTGTCCTCCTTTACAGACCTTCAGCCGGTCACCTACAGCGAGCCGGCTTTCTGGTGTTCTATAGCCTACTATGAGTTAAACCAGCGAGTGGGAGAGACCTTTCACGCCTCGCAACCATCACTGACTGTGGACGGCTTCACTGACCCCTCCAACTCTGAACGCTTCTGTCTAGGGCTCCTCAGCAACGTCAACAGAAACGCCACCGTGGAAATGACAAGGAGGCATATAGGTACAGGCACAATATTATGAGGCATTGATATAAAGAAATTTAGGAAACATTTATTTTCATCTTTTTTTTGCTAAGATTCAAGATTCACTAGATTTGTCATTTAAGTTTGTCTAGGTTCACATTTTAAATGCATCCATGACCTTTTTGCATCTAAGAAATTACTCCAATTTTTTAGCAGTTTATATTTTCATAGTCTATTAGACACTTTCCTGTGCTTTTTTGATACACAATGGTAATAAAAATGCAATTTTCAACACAAAATAACCACACTACTTTTACCCTGTTGTGTTAAACTTGTTCTGATGTAAAGTGTTTGGTATGAAATTAATATCTAATTTTGATACTAGTATCAGTGATTCAATGACAATACTTTTGACAACCACCTATGCAAGAATCCCATGCATTTCAGAAAATCTTTGAGTTATAAGCATTGGGCAAGGTTTATACATAAAACCACATGGAGACACAGGGACATTTAGTTTTCTAGATTGAACACAGCGTTAAATATTTTCCCCTTTTTCAGCCATTCACATTAGTTTCAGTGTCATTGCGATGCCATTTTTATAACTTTATTGTCTTTCTTGTCTTATGATTTTCATACTAACCTTTTTCCTGAAGGACTGTCATGCTTGACCCATGCATTTCTGTTTCCAGGTCGCGGTGTACGATTGTATTACATTGGAGGAGAGGTCTTTGCAGAGTGCCTCAGTGACAGTGCCATTTTTGTTCAGAGCCCCAACTGCAACCAACGATATGGCTGGCACCCGGCCACAGTCTGCAAGATACCATCAGGTTTTTAAACACGCGTGCCTGCTTGCATTTATCTTCAAGTATGCTATACAAATGAGGTCATGCATAAGTATAATTTGTCAGGACATTTGAAGAGTATATATTAAGTTTGTTGTACATGGTAGCAAGGAACAGGGAGCAATGGTGGAACACTGATGTCATCCACAATGTGCTTGTGTTTCTCAACTCCCACACACACAATGACTCATCTGTACCCGTCTTAACTTTCAACATTTCAGTCATGGCCAAACAAACCGTGTGATATGTAGCATTAGGGTGGCAGTACTCGCATAGAGTCACGTGGTTGCCAGGAACACTATTCACTTCTGATATTAATACTTTCCATGCAACTTTTAATTGTCTTCGTTTTTATATTTGTCTTTTACAGGCTGCAATTTGAAGATTTTCAATAACCAGGAATTTGCTGCACTCCTGGCCCAGTCTGTCAACCAGGGCTTTGAGGCCGTGTACCAGCTAACCAGGATGTGCACCATCAGAATGAGCTTTGTCAAGGGCTGGGGAGCAGAATACAGGTGCGGACTGCTACATATACACTTTTCATACTTTTCATTACTGTTATCGCTTGTTCCATAATCATCTGTTCATCTATTGCATATAGATTTACCTTTTACACAGTACACAGCATGTTCAAGCTAAATATCTGACGATCTAAATGTGAATAAGTATTTCGGAGGTGCCTACAGGCCAAGTAGCAAATCAGATCAGATTTTCAAGCAATAAAATACCTGTGAATAAAAGATGAAAAATGCATAAGTTTGCTACAATACTGCTAAAAATCTGAAAAGTTACAGTGCATCTTTTATTATCTCTAATACTATAGTGAATCTTGCATTTATCTTGCATTTTGTTATTCTCTTCCTACAGAAGACAAACTGTCACCAGCACTCCCTGTTGGATTGAGCTCCATCTCAATGGCCCCCTCCAGTGGTTGGACAAGGTGTTGACTCAAATGGGTTCCCCATCAGTCCGCTGCTCCAGTATGTCTTAAACTGAGTCATCAAATGCTGACAAATGTAAACAGGAAGTCAAAAAAGAGACAGATCTGTCAAGTCCACTCCAAAATGGTGGAAAAAAAGACTATGGATCTTTGATAGATGGATGGGATTAACACAATGTGGGCCAAAAGTCAGCATGACATTCCAGTCATCTCGGACATATTCAACCTTTACAATTTCCAAACTAATTGATGTCATAATGGACCAAACATTTTTACTGGATGCTCCAAAACACTAAACACAAGAAGGTGTGGACAGGACTGTTTTGGCAGTAATTTATGCATGTAACTCACTCAACATACTTAGTAGGCTCATGTCACCTTGTTATTCCATGCAGTTTGTCAAGGCATTTTCCTTTTGCAGAAACATTCATATAGAAGGCTTTTTCTCGGGTTACCTTTTTAAACCAAAGCCAACTAACAGCAACCTATCGATTTAATAGAGATTTTAAATTGTCGTTTTTATTATATTTGTCAATGACCAGCCCAATTTCAATGTTTTTTTTTTTTGAGTGAGTGATGTTGAAAGGAGTTTTTGGCCAGATTTGGTTTAAATGATGGAAATGCCTTTTTCGAGTGGCTAACAGCAAACATAACTGGAATGTATTGAAAACAAGAGTGTGTCGATTGACTCGTATGCTAATTTAGATGCAAAACTACAAAATGCCCCCATTTTTCTACAATTCTTTACTACCCAACAAATTGCACTATACTATAGTACTATACTATACTATACTTTTGCACATCCTTTTTGATTATTAATAAGGAACGTGCAGTATGGATCGATTGGCACAAAATGTTTAGAAGTCCTAAACTAACATGCAGTATTGTCTTTTGAATATCTGGTCTTTCGCTGACAAATGAGGCTTTCTTTTTGCAACATCTAGTTTTACTACTGATGTTCTTAACAGCTTCTATACTGTAATTGCACTGCCCCAAAAATATGCACCCTTAATAATGTTACATGGACGTTGCCTTGGTGAGAAATACAGTGTTGAGAAATATGCAGAGGAATGTTTTATGAAGCTCAATGAAAGGAGGAAATGGCAGATATTTTTATACATAATTTGTCAGAGAATTCTATGCTTTTTTTTTTTTTTTTTTTTTTTTTTTGGGACTTACATGCCCTCATTGAATTGGCTTTTATGCTCATTTGAAATGTCTAAATTGGATTTTTTTCTCAAATCTATAACCAGCTTGTTCAGTATTGTTCACAATTCCGCACCCAAATCATTCAAGTATTTAAGCTTTAAACGACAAGCTAGGTAAGCCACAAATTAATATTACTTTACACATTCTTTGTACTTTCTTATATTTTCTATATATATAGATATATTTAAAATTTCCCTCTTTTCTTTAGAAACCAGTATTTTAGGGTATGCCCTTTATTGCCTGTTATTTTACAATATCACAGCATGATGAAGTAATAATAAACATGATATACTGTATATTGCGTTTCCACTGAAAAAAATGAAGTGTATGCTTTTAGAAGCAATTGGCCTTAAAATGCCCCGATTATGCAATTTTTGGAAAAATGTGGCTGTTTAGGTTTAAATCAGCTTATTTGTTAGTATGTATAGAGTATTCCTTTGCTGGTCTGATGGATAAGTCTTATATAGCAAAGACCTTTCTATAACTGCCAGCTGTAAAAATGGTGGGCTCAATTGTCACAAATTTGTTTTGTTTATGCCCAACATATTATTGACAACTGTATAGATTAAACTTAAATAAAATCTGATGTATTAATACCTTTACATTTTGCCTTTCAGTAGCTCTGGCATTAAAATGATGGTGGGTGTGTTTACATGCGTAGAGGACAGTGTAATATTGGTCTTGGTCCATCACTAAGAACATTGCACTTGTTTGGCCATCCAAGTAATTTTGAATATTATTGAAACAAGATCTGACATGTAAATAAGCCTATAATGTAAGCAAATAACACAATAGGCAAATTGGCTTCACCTTAATTTAACTGAGAATGTCACATTCAGAGTAATACATTCAATATAGTAGTTAGTACACTAAAATTGAAACGAGATAGGAATTTGAGCAAGTATCGATACTGCCAAAAATTTAATTAACAGGACAATATCTGAGCTTTGAACTTGAACTTTACTATGATTTTGAGCTTTACCGGAATAAATGAGACATAATTCTAAGCTGAAGAGAGAATATAATTTTCATATACAAAATAATAGAACTGTACTAACTACTAAAACAGGAGCATATTTTATTTTCATTGTGGTAATGCAATCGCTATCAAAATTGAGTCTGAAAACGCTACAATACTGTCTACCTACATACTATCAACACACAACTGTTCATTAACATGGAAACACCTTCACCACATTTTGCTATTTTGAATTACATGATATTTTAAAAATGTACTTGTATCCTGTACAATTCCTGTTAATATAGACTTAAGTGAAATGGTTTTGGTTTGAGTTCTGCATTGCAATCATATTTGTAGTTAAGGACAGACAGGCAAAGTAAACACCAGCATTTCAAAAAAGCATTTTATTGATTAGGTAAAACTGTATAACTGATGTAAATTTTGAGCTGGAGGGGCATTGTCACAATAGTTAGGTAATTGAAATGAATTACTGGGTTAAGTACTGCATTGTGTTCACTATCTGTAACCCAATTATTACCCACCCTCCACCTCCAATTAGCCTAGCTTTTTCAATAAGGCCAACCAATACATTTTTTTTCAGCTCCTATTTAATTTTATCTTTATAATTTGTACCATTGTCTCAAAGCGGCCCAAGTCTGCTCGGGATTCTGCTCTTCTGAAAAGGGTGCCTTTGGGGGAAAGAATTTCTTGTCTTCTTGTGATGTTGATGTATATTATTTCATGCATCCATTTTCTCTTTCTGTCAACTATGTATATTGCATTATTAGACAATCTTAGGTTTTCTGTCTTCATCCTATCAAACTTCACTTTCACCACTATTCAGACATCTTACAGTGTAACTAATAAAGCTGTTTTAATCAAATTTGTCACTGAAAGTGTGGTTGTTCTTTTAATTTTGAGATTCACTACAAAACTTTTTGTCTGGTCTGCCACTTGCTTGTCTCTGTGAAGATATTGCTTTATCTTTCTTTTTTAGCAAGACTCAAGAGAACACCCAAAACTGAACAGTTTAATTAGTGTGACCAGAATTTTAAAATCAAAAACTGGGACACTGGGTTTGGGGTAGTTGGTAATAAAATTGTGAAACAAGTGCATAATTAAGGAGAATTGTTCTGCACTCGGCCTGTTCACGACCAACATGTGAGTCCCTATAGTCCCTTTTTCTTTGTGTTTTGGTCATTTTTAAGCAGCTTTTCTATATTTTATGGCCACAAATATAAGTTTATGCCTCTCTTTACTGTTGGCAGGTATCAAATTGGTCCAAAATTGGGGCACCTGGGACATTTCTTGTATAAAACTGGGACAAATCAGTGGTTTTGGATAAATCTACTGGAACAGGGGACACAGAGCCCAAAACTGGGACTCGCATGTTTGACACCTGTGTCCTAGAGTGACCAGACATCCCTATTTACCCGGGACAGTCCCTGTTTTGAGCCCTATGTCCCCTGTCCCAGCAGCAAAACCAGTGACTAGTCCCACTTGTCCCCATTTCAGACCAATTTGATCCCCACCAACAGTAAAGAGAGGATTGTTTAGCTAAACTATAGAAACAACACAAGTGAGTCGAGAATGTACACGTGCTCTTTCTTAATTTTATTTATACCAGCCATCCTAACTCAGGTGTTTAATTCTGAAAATCTGGTCACTCTGTCTTCACCAGTAAAGTTACATAATTCACCTTTAACCAAATAGTCAAGTCGAAAATGGCGCCACTTCTGAAAATTCATATTAATTAAATTTTAAATTAATTTTATTTTTGAACGAAAGGTTAAGTCATGTAGATTCACCTTATACATCATTAAAATATTTTAATTAGTTAAATATTTCTCAAATAGTGTGCATATGCTAGCTTTTTTTGCTGCACTTCACTAAGGCAGAGCACAGGTGAGTTCACAGCCTCATAACGCAGCTGTTTTCTCGAGAATTTTCTAGTTTATTCTCAAATATGATTCATTATTAGTAGGATTTTCAGGTAGTTCTATTTAATTTTGTACTCTACTGATAAATGCACAATTCATAATATTTAACAGTAGGCCTACAGCTGTTTTTAGTAAAACAAGGTAACACTGCGCTAACATGGTGCTAGCCAGCCTACTTTCTCTTGAGTTTGACCATTTTTATTATCCAAAACAATGAAAGTAGAAAATACAAGCGTTCACATTGAGTTTTAAAAGTAAAGTGACAATTTTATTCTCTAAAACGTGAAAAAAGAAGTTTCTTATCTACAATTTACGGAATCTGATGTAATGACCATTTAAATGCAGCAGGGGGAGTTACAAGCTCATTCAATAATTTAAAAAGGATCTCTCAGACTTTCCCATTAATACAAGAGACTGTTAGCCACCCATAGTCTAATATTCTCCTCCATAGGCTAAAAAGAGATCATGTTAGCCCTCCATTGTCTAATATTCTCCTCTATAGGCTAAAAAGGACATGGACTAATTGGTATAATAAATTGTTGCTCATTGTATTATCATAAACTTATACTACAGTACAATGTGACTGGTTAGAGATTAAATATAGGCAAAAAGTGACATTTATACTTAATTAATTCACATATAAGATGTGCCACCATAATCTTAAATCTATGTATGTGAAAAACTGGAATTATTCTTGATATCCATACATAATTTAATTAATTCATATATAGTTTTATTAATAGGCCATCATGCTAGAACTTTATCTAGAAATAGGCTACACAGAGGTGAAACAGTTGTCAGGTCTTGGGTGTCAGCAGCAAAGGTAAAAATGGTAATAGTTTTATAAGTCTAGTTTTTTCTATTTCAAAGTTTATATAGGCTCAGTGTCATTAAGTACTTATTATGTCTGTAAGGTGCATTTCTTTTGCACAAAGTGGAAAAAAATTCAGGAACATTTTATGCAGCAATTTAATTACAAAATCTTTTAAATTTTGATTAATACAGTTAAAAAAACATTTGTGCATTAAATACAAATTATGATATGAGGTTGATTTTACAATTTAAGTTTTGTCTAATTTGCATTTTCCAGACTTCATTACACTGGTTATACATGAAATAGTGGACGCTAGTGTTGTCACAATACTAAAATTTCAAACTCATAATTTTGAAACTAACAAACTGACTCAATACCGATTCCAACAATGCAATGATAAAAAAAAAAAAAAAACTCTTTCTTTAGACAGTAGAACAACATTATCAACATTAAATTTCAGTACTTTCTTTTATATTACAGTGGTCTAGGTAGGTTCCATCGTGGTCCATTGGTGTATACTAGTCTATGTGCTCTTACTTATACAGCCCAAGATCACTCTAAAGCTTCTCAGAAAAGGTTAATTTCTGTCATTTGAATGTGATATTTTTAGTACAGACAGTCTGCTCAAATAAGTTTAGTTTCGATACTAGTTTTAGCATCAATTAATATCTGATTTTCGATTTTGACAACCCTAGTGGACACTGCAGAAAGCAGTAAGCATCATTGTAACTTAACTTTCTGGAAGTATAATAAAGACTTATGAGTGTGTCAGCCATTTGTATCTGCTGTGGTTGAAGTACAGAGGTTTAGTTTATGTTCCCGAATAGCTTAAAAGAGTGTGGCGTCTCCTTTATGGGCAAAATATTGATCGGGCGTTCTGTAACCATGCCATCTCGTGCACCGGCCGCAAATGTAAAATGCTTTCCAATAAGTATGGGAGTAATTCACCATTGGTAAATTACAGTCACTGTGTTATGGACTGCTGCAGCAAGAACCTATTCCTGCTTGTTTACCTGCTTACACTATTGTGCAGTATAGATTTCAAATTACTACTGCTGATTTATGCCATTTTGCACCTATTATTTCCATGTAAATACTAGGGCTAAACAATTTATATATTGCATTTTAACACTGCGTCAAAAGCAGGCATGTTGTAGTATTTATTTTAGCAGTTGGTTATCACTTATTTTGTGGTTGGTTATATCTATTATTATACTTTATTAAAATTATCACAAAATGTATATTCTTGTCTGTCTACTATGAAAAAATGTAGTTTTTTTTCTTGTAGTTAGTTTCAGTCAGTATCTCAATAGTCCAGATAATTTGTGATAATCAAAGGTGTGCTGTGTAACTTTTCCAGTGAAAGGCGCACCATGTTCTTTTCCTAGATGTTGCTGCTTTGCCTGGAATGTTCCACAGTATGGAATTAAACCAGTCTAGCTTTATGGAAACAAGCCAGTAACACCACCAAGCCAATTTACAGATCCGACCTGTGGAGATGTGTTTAAAATATTTTGAATAAGATGCATTCTTACTGTGAGCTGGGTTGCCTTTCCACAGATTTGACCTGTAACTTGGCCTGGTAGTATCACCTGCTTACTGGCAAGGAGATCTATAACAGCAAGGCACAACAAGCAGCAAGCAGGTTGCAGACCCAGAAAAGTTACATAGCGCACTAGTTATTTCAACATTAGGGATGACCAATCCAGTTGCATCAGATCTACCATCACCAAGACTACATTTAATAATGTAGTAACAATTGAATATATATTTTTTATATAGTTTGACAGGAGGGTGGCCAAGCCAAGTGAGAAGAACTACTCAGGGAACTCTTATTGGTTTGTATAAACAAGTCAAAGACATTTTTCACAAAAATCATATATCAGTGCTAAAGTCTGTGGACTAAAACCTGCCTAAAAGACGCCTTGCATGTTGAAAGCTTGTTTCTGTGTTCCTCAGCAGATCCTGACATTAGACCTGGCACCAGGCCTCAGACTGTCATCTATCATTCATATGACTTTTGTTGTGACGTTATGCTTGTGCAGTCTGACGTAGCGGGCTAAAGTTCCCCGCAGGAGTCCTTACATTTCACCTGCCTGACCCCTATACTAAACCATAGACTGTGCTGCTGTCTCACTGTGTGATGCCTTGTTTTAAATAGGTCTTGCCTAAGAAGCAGCTGATGTGTCTGGGGGTACGCTTTGCAAAGGTGGGTAGTACTAAGTTACAGTTACCAATTACATTTACTTGAGTAACTTCTTAAAGAAATGATTCTTGTTTTCAGACTACATACATTTACACCTACTTGAGTAGTACATTTGACAGTGTAACAGTACTGTTTCCTGAGTAAAAGTATGTTTCCTCTTCCCACTGTGAGTAGGTCTACAAGTCGCAAAAGCTTTATGTTGACAATATGAAATAATGTGAACATTTGTGTTTCTTGCACTGCTGTCAGATTTGATTTAGTTTTTTAAAAAAATTTGTGTCTTTCCTTTGAAAATACCAAGATTTTGTGCATTATTTAAGCTTTTGTCCTTCCAATTAATCAGTTTCAAATCATAAATCATATGTTACGTCCGGGCAGTTCAGTTTAGTAGTTTCCCCAAACTCGTTTTTACTCTTGAGTCAGTTCTTCTACCACTACTTTGGACTTGTACTTGAGTAATATTGTTTTGAAGTAACGTTACTCTTACCTCTGACCCTGTGTATGTGTTTGTTTAGGGCCCATAAGACATGAGAGGAGTAATCATGTATAAGTTATGTTAGCTAATTAAGACTGGCCCTAACCCACGGCTGACCCCGAGCAAACAACAAAAGAAGCTAAAAAGCCTTTGTCGCTGTGTACCTGCGGCCTCTTAGACACACGGATGGCTTGGATGTCACGTGTGTGTGTGTGTGAGTGTGCGTGTTCTGTTGGTCATCGGTGCGGCGCTACCCTGATCTTGTAACTGGAGCAGAGAAGAAACGAGAGAGCAAAGAGAAAAGGACAGCGGCAGAGTGGAGGAAAAGTTGTTCTTCGGTGAAAGAAAGTAAGAGACTGGTCCATGTAATTAGGCCTAAATGAGTTTTCCACTGGGTCAAAGCAACGCCGAGACAAAGCTAGAGGTGAGGTCAGGGAGGCGGTCGGAGAAGGGGCAGCTGTGGTCAGAGGAGAGAATGTGCCTGGCATCAAAGCACGTGTTAGACTTGAACTTTTACTGGGGTTTAGGGTAAGGCTGTGAGAGCAATCGAATCGAAGTAGCAATTTGGATGGACACAGTTAGCAAAGACTGCAGTTTTTGACGTACCATATATTTCTCCACAAGCAACAAAATATGCTGTTTTACTGTGCATACAAACTGGTAACACTGTAGATTAGATCTGTACAAACATGTTCTGAAATAGATGTGATCCTATTGTTAAAACGTACATTGTAATTGCGATGTTTCTCACAAAATTCTCAATTCAATATTTTCCCAAATCCTTATACAGGGTAATAAAAATAGAAAGATGTCATGTTTTGAATGTACCATATCAGACAATCCCTGTAAAACATGAAAGTACCGAACACACATGTAGATATAGATGTCATGAAAGTGCATTGAAGGAACACAGCAAAGTGTGGAGGACATTTCAGCGCCAGAGTTAAGTGTAGTTTTAAAGGTCTGCTGTGTAACTTTTCTGGTGGGGAGAACGCCACCCTCTGGTCTTATTGGAATGTTCCATATTAAGTGAGTATAACCCAAACCATGCACCATAATTCTCCTCCTAAGATCAATGACCATGCCTAGCAACAGGATCATAGAAATGGATCCCTATGTACTGCTCTGTGGTGCTCACTGATCCTTAGGAAGTACCCCAGCAGCATTGAAGAATGGGTTAAATGCAGATGACAAATGTCCCTATGGGGACAAAAAAGTCTGTACCTTAAAATTATGCTCTTAAAATTACCTATCTTGTTATTTTATAGCTTAAAAAACACATTAAAATGATACATTTTTATCGTGACCAGGTGCCACCTCTCCACAGATCTGACCTGTACTTTGGAGTGGTGGCATCACATGGTGATGGACCTTACTGTCAATCATTCAGCACAAAGCAAGACTCTCCTCAGAAAGTCACATACTACACCCTTAAGGATGAGCACACACCGAAGTCAGAACTGAAAATAATATGGCTAGTTAGAAGTACATGGTCTGGATTGAGAAGGGGTGTCTTTTATATTCACAGTATAAATTAATTTAGACATGCTAAGAATAAAGTTATCTAAGCCATTTGTTTTACAGGACAAAATAATTTTTTGTATGAAGAGTTCAGATATCTGTGGATTTCTGGGGTCACACCTGGAGCAAACTAAATAATACATACATGACATACTGGTGACCTACATTCTCCTCTTCTAAATCATGCTAATAAAAAGGCTGTAAAATGCTGAAGGCTTGTATGCATTGACACTTAGCCTGAAGGTGTCATTTAGCCAACCACAAGTCCTCCTAAGAACCCTTCAGCAGCAGGTGTACTGTCCCATGTGACTTCAACCAAAACACCAAATGACCAGCCAGATTCTGCCCCCTCTCACTAGACTAGCGCCTATTTGAATATAGCCACAAACCACTTAGGTCTCACCTTAGGTCATCGTAAAGATTTCAGCCAACCACAACCATCAACAAGTTGTGTTTTTGTGGTTGCAGTGACATCACTTCACCGGGTCGTGACCTGTGCTTCACTTGGGTTCAAGAGGTCAGGTGGAAGAGTGGTCGTTAAGATGGTAAGGACTCACTTAAAGAATGATATCCAATTATTACAATGTTGTTACACTTATCCTGTTGAAATCAAATTCAGAGGTGGGTAGTACTCAGTTACATTTAATCAATTACATTTACTTGAGTAACTTTATAAAGAAATTGTACTTTTTTGCTGCATATATTGACTCCTACTTGAATAATATTTTTATTGATGTAATAGTACCCTCATTTAAACAAAAGTTTAGGTTGACAATATTAATATAGTTATAATGTTTTTTCCTCACCAAAAACATACCTGGTGTTTTGATATATTCATACATGTTTAACAAACGAAACCCTGCATACTACCTTCACTGGAATCATTTGGATGATTTCAGACGTGGAATTGCTAATCTCTTTTGAACAAAAGGTAAATGGTTGCTGTTAAATTGAAAACTACTATTACAAGGTGGAATGAAGCATTTTAAGCTTTGGAGATGTAGACAGACTAATAATAAAGGATTTCTTATACATATATGAATGAAAAAACTCAACTCTGGGATTACTGGGAGCTAACAACATTTCAACATGACTAAAAGTTCACACGAGTCAATAATATAGTCGTAATATATAGAACCTTCAACTTTAGGACAACTTATTTGTCTCCACTGATCTGCAATGATTTTTAAAAGAGAATTTAAAGAAGACAATACTTTTTTTTTCTTCTAGTTGATTTGCATATATACTATGTTTTCAGTCGATGTCATGTATGTCTTTGACTGCATTATCTGGTATATTTATGAGAGCATTATCAGTCACACACAAAGGTATAATGTCCCACCTTTTCTGTTCTTATCACGCCTCCCCCTTCCCTCCCATTACACATGCTACGCGGCGGGGTGTGTGCGGGGTTATGAAAACAGTTAGGCTTAATAATTGATGTTCTGCATTTCAATCAATTTCACCACAGTGTTAGGCTAATTAAGGTTAGCTCCATCCTCCCCGGGCCTGACTGCGCCGCTACCAGAGCCTGTGCATGTGTGTTTGCCTGCTCCTGAGGGCTCCACGCTTCACTTTAGACGAGAATACATGGGAATTCTCTATTTTAAGAACAAGAGATGGAAGATAGTCTCTCTCTCTCTCTCTTTTCTCTCTCTCTTTTGTCTTTTCTTGTGTGCTTTTTTTCCTCTCTATTCTTTTGCCTCTCTCTCCCCAGGCAGGATCCTAAATGCAATTAACACTGCTGCTTTACTGCCTGCTAATTATTAACACACACACACACGCATACACACACACACGCTCGATACACACACGAGGCAGAAATGATTATTTTATGCCGGACTAATTTAAAGTTCATTGACGATTGTTTTAATTAATTAAATAAGAAAAGTACACACTTTAAAAACGTCAGGCTGCCAGGCGGGCACGGCGGGCATTTGCATATGAAGGTAATAATTATCCGTGGTGTGTGCAGCGCTTACCTAGAGCACAGACTGTTTTGTGTGGATTGTTCATTCAGCCACACAACCTTAAGGTGTGTGTCCCCGCGCTAATGAGACTTTAAAGCCTTTATGCCAGTATTTAACATTAACAAGGATAACTAAAGAGTCCAATTAAAACACAGGGACCCATGTTTGTGCTGCAACTGGCTTAACAAATAAGGCCAAGGTTAATTATAGACTTAATTACCTTAGTGTTCAGTCCTTACCCTCTCTTGTCCTGTGATTTGTGTAATACCAGTATGAAAATAAACAGGGCAGCAGTCTATAAAAAGTAGCTGGATGTCAAATCAACATGAGAATACAAATATTGAACATATATTGACATGCTATAAAGCTTATTTAGACTTAGATTCTGTTAATCTTCAAACTTTCTCTTGTTTCATACTTTGTGTTGTTTAATATTTTTCTCTGTTGAAAAAAAGAAAGCTGATGCTGATAGAAGGCTCTTATCACTGTAAAAGGTAACATAAATAATACATGGAAAAAAAAAATACTGCAAGCTTATTGGCATTATCAAGTAAGCTTTACAGAAGAATGAGGTATACTTTTACAATATCGACTTATCATTTAATTTATGAAAGCTGGAACAATATATTTTGGGGATCAGTATTTATTGTTGGTATTTATTTTTATGTAATAACTCAAGATTTGAGCTGTAGAGGACAGAATAAGTAACTCTTATGGCGTGACGTGATGGTGGCATAAAGTAGTTCCAATATTATCGTTTATCACAGCTGTAGCTGTAGCTGTAGCTATGTATCGTGCTTCAAAATGTGTTATCGTGACAAGCCTATTTATTACAGTGTAAAGGTTACTTAAATAATTCCATTGCCGGGGTTTTAGTAAAATACTGTTGTTGCATGCTTATGATGATATAATTCATAATTAGGGATGTGCAATTAATCATCTCTCTTCTTGGGTTTTTGTAATGGAGAGACCAACAATCCTCCGTTGGTAAAAGCATGTGGTTTGGTCAGAGTAAGGAGGAAGAAATTAGACTTTTCTTTGTTTTAAATGGCAATTATTAAATATCTTAATAAAATCTTATAAAAAATTGCGATTCTCTCTCTTTCTTTTGTCATATTACTAAACCCTATTTAAAATACAATAATCTATTCTCAAGACATCCAGTGTGAGAATCCAATTTGAATCATATGCTTTTTTTTTTTTTACCCAGCCTTCTCCAGACCTCCCCATTCTTCCCGATGGCACTACGAAATACAGTCTCATTGCTGTGGACATGACAGAGAAGTCCCAAACAAAGCCGAAGACGCGCGCTCCTCGTCAATATGAAAAGGTACGAAGATGAAGAGAGAAGAGAGATGTGGAGAAAAGGAGGGCATGTAACTAGACACCAGCTGTGTTTGTTTAATAACGTCAAAGGAAGGAGGGAGAGGGGAGGCAAATACAGGGGATTGTAATATAACTAAAAGATGAAAGAATTCCCTGTGACTGTCTGTGCCGGACTCAGGTGTTAAAGTACACTCCCATTACGCTCCCAACTTGTCCGGAGACACAGAGCCACCTTCTCCCACCTCCCACAATCCTCTCTGCCGCACATCACAAGCTCTTCATTAATTCAGCCGCCCTTCCCTTTCTCCATCCTTTTTATCTATTGTCCATGGAGTTCCTCAAGTATTTTATATTAATTTATTAATCAGGACAAAGAGCAGCATTTGATCAGGGTTTGAGAAGGGGGTCCGTCTTTTTTGAAAAGTACAAAATTATTAATGTTGATACAAAGTTGTAGCATTAACTAATAGTTGATGGTTTATAATTTCAGGGACGCTATTAGCTACTTTCCTTCATAAAGGCAACCCTTAGCATGGTGCTGTTCTCTGGTGTAGGACTTAATATGTATGTGTATTTATATTTATGGCTGATATTGAATATTTTACCAAAATTTAGCGCTGATATTTTTTCTGCAGTGCTCCAGTCTTTGTGTGCGAATCTGTCTGTCCCAGTTTGTCCTCAGATTTGCGCCTCAGATTTGTCTTTTTGAAGAGACAAAAGCAAAAACTTTAGTAAAAAGTTTGTAAACTTCACTGTAACTTACATTTGGTCCTTGCAGTGTATATTAAAAGATTAATATGGGTATTGGCTCAAAAAAAAAAATCATATTGGATGATCCCTAATTTTTATTATTGATTATGTGCACATTTTATTACTTTTTTCACTAAAATCAGCAGCTTGGACTTGTAGCAATGTAGGTAACTGCATATGTGCTCCAGCTCTAAAAGGGCCACCTTAGGAGCACTTTTATATTCACTCACAGTGTGATGTCTACCAGTACTATAATAATCATTATCGCTGATCTGTTTTCTGAGCTAACTAAATGTAAATGACTATAGTTTCTTGCGTCTCTTTTGCGTTTTGGTTGCTGGTGAACACAAAGGCAATATTTTCTACACAGTCTGGACTTGTGGCCAGAGGGCACACACTGAAGGACCAGTTGTGTGCTGTTCAAATGAATGCATGAATATGTGTGTCATCTGGGCGTATTTGTGGCTGCTGTGAATGAATGAATGTGTGTGGCTGAGTGTGAATGGCGGCCCCTGGCCAGGCCACGTGTTATTGATGCTCCCGCCTGGGGCTGCGTCGGGGAAATGGATGTGTACGCGGGGTCATGTTGTGTCGTCAAACGGCGCCTGGTGAAAGATGGCCAGCACCGATATGATCAGTCATCTGTTGATCAAGATGTACTGCTACCGCCTCGCCGCACTTTCTCTTTGAATTTCACTGTTAACTCACAACAGAACCTGCTTTTATTCCTCTCTCTGTCTTTTTGTGCATGTGGATCCTAACTGCACTTACATCTTCTTAAGTACTTGTGGGGCAAAAGATGTAATTGCATCTTATGTTGTCAAATCAATAGGGCTGTTGATGTTTGCACAAGATTGTAATAATTTTGAGCCACGCTGCATTCCATTTTATTCAATTAATCGATGCACAGTACTTGTCTGACCAAGAATTTCTTTAGTTGACTACAGTCAATATACATAACATTTAAACACGTCCAGGAGCAGTAACATTTGAGAGAAGACTTTGAATATGAACTACTAATACAAGAATCACATGCATTTCAGAAGATCTTTGTAGAGGTCTAGTTCCAGGGTGGAGATGGGATATTTTGTTGTTTGCAATAGACATGTTGCCGAATTATTTGTAGTCTTTGCAGAAATTGGAGCCATCCAAATTGTGATTCAATAGTGATGTTCAGTTATAAACCCTACTTACTGTGCTATTAACTGAAACATTATTGCCCCTAGGTACACAAAATCTCCACTGTATAGTAAAAACAAAACTATGTTCATTATTGTACCAAGAAATTACCAACTGTTTGACTAAAATCCATTTGGCTCTGGCTGTGGCTGGGTCATATTGATGTCCATCTATAATACAATATTATGCCAGTCTGTTTACTCTGTAGACTCTCTTCTATCATCTTGCCTCCTCTCATGACTCCTTTACCCTTGTCTTTCAATCTGTTCCTTTCATTAAAGTGTCACATTACACGTACACACACACACAGGAAACCAGAGCATACACATATTACACACATGTTACACACACAGCACACACATGTGTGTAATTGTGGCCACACTCTGCGGTGAGGAGGTAATGTGTAGCTCAAACAGTGGTTAACTGAAAAAGCAGCAGTCTAAAGTGCTGTGCGCTGTGGTGAATGACTAATGTGCTTCTGAGAGTTTGGGTTTTGGACCTTTTATTGTCTGTGGTTAGAACATAATGGGATTTCATTGTGTGGTTAAGAGCTGTGTGATAGTGTCATATGTGTAAGCCTTGGTACATTTTGTGTTTATTTGTTAATGGTTACTGACAGCATTGATTTTGTAAAATGGCTTTTTGGAAAGAGACGATATTGCACATGGGGGATTCTTTTGCCCCTGTAGTCACTTGTTTGTGTACACAACACGATGTAGAAGCGCAAAATAGATCATAATTTAATGATATATCTATTTTAATTTAATGTAGAATACCACTATTGTCTTAAAAGCCTTAGAGAGGTATGTTTTGATTCATATGGAAATTGAATATAGGTTCTACCTGTTTTCGTACAGGGCATTAAGTATGGCAATGGCACTGCAGTTAGGAGGCTGTACTAGGGGTTTCATCATTACAAAGGATGGACATCACCCATCATGTCTTTGGAACAAACTTTGGGGTGACTGTACTTCACAAATGAAAACCCACAGCAATATTCAGACGTATACATTTTATGTACATTATGCAGAATGATCAGTTTTGACATTTTGAATCACCTTAGTATTTTAGAATTGTTGTTTTATTTGAGGAAAACACGTAATGTTTTTACAATGTGTGGTTAGAGTCGAGACCAACACAGTTCATTGTACACTGACCCTGGTGTATGCATAATGTATCAGAGCTGACCACACTGATGTATTAGTGGACTAAATGACTGGATTAATGGTGCTCATGGAGGGAGGTGGAAGCACTAAGAGGTCCCACAAGTGCTTCAAGTCATGGTGTGGATTATTCCAGGTTATCTTCTGTTTCTTTTTATCTGAGCAACTATTTTAGTCACCTGTGTTTTAGTTTTTTTGTTTAGGTTAGTTTTAACACCTCTCTTTAGTTGACAAATTAAGTGTCGAGGAATGTCTTTAGTTAATCAAGAAATTCTTTAGTTAACTACAGACCCTTAAGCCTTAGTCTTCGACTAATCATTTTATTTACATCATAAGAGTTTACATGGGACAGCAGAAGAAGTTAATGTGCAGGTGAATTAGGTGAAGGATTGGTATTTTTTTTGTTTCCTAGTACTTTTTATTGCATAAATAGTAGTTTTTGCATAAACTTGCGTGCCGTTGTAGTCTTGTAAGTGTGGTTTGGGTCCAATACAGACAGATACATAATAGCCTTGACATAGCTTTTGCCACACCCCCTTTTTGGTTGACTGACTGATTGGCAGGACATGTCTTTAGTCAACCAGGAATTTCTTCAAGTACAAGCCTATGGCTCTTATAATCTTTTGATAAAATCCCTGCTACAATTCAGTCAGTGTTATACTCTACATCCTTCGTGTCTTCCTTAGTTCTTCTGCGTCTAGCCCCAAGTTGTAAACAACTGTCATACTTAGCCCTCTTAAATAGCCTTCACAGTTGCATATCTCATCAATGTTTCAGAGGGAGTGCTGAATATCATCTGTCCATAGCCCATACTTCGCCCTCACTTATTTACATCCGGCTACCCCTGCGCCACTGAAACCTCAACAGTAACATCAATGATTCATCAGCCAATGTTTTAGCAAAATGCACGAGTCTTCTGTCGATACCAGAGGAGGAAGGGAAAAGCGAAAGAGAAGGAGCAGTTGGAAAAAAGACAAGAATGGGAGGTAAGAAGATCTGATTAAGGCTGTGCCAAAGAAAAAGAGACAGGAAATGAAAAGAATAACCCGGATTTAATCAACTGGTGAATGTGAAAGGTTAAAATGAACAAAAGTTGTAAGCAATATGTACAACAGGTACAAAATAAGAAATTATTATCCAAATCAATTTGCTATCCACTATCTACAAATCAGAGGACTTGGAGTAAATTTTTTAAATATTTGCCAATAGAGTTATATCTATTTTTTTCCTTCATAGTGTTCAGTGAGTAGTTTGATACTTTTGGTGTTGGTCAGGAAGTTGATTCTCCAATCAAGCGATGAAGGTATAAGCCTAGATCTTTAGTCGATTAATTGGTCTTAGTTGATAAATAATTTTATTTATGTTATAATAATGTATATAGGACAGCAGCAGAAAGGAAAAGTAACTCAGGCTGAAGAATTGGTAATTTTTTGGTATGTATACAAAGATAAAGAAGTTGAGCATCCTGCATAAAATCAGCAATATTGCCATGAAAAAATTGGTGGAGTTATCATTCTACATAAATCTCAAAATACAAAGCTGAAGTCGAAGAAAGAGAGAAGATATACTCAGATCAGCAAATGTCAGAAGGAACATGTAAAAGAACAGACAGGCCAAAACAATAAAGAGGAGAAAAAAAATCATCCCTTTTTTTTCTTTGCACTGTGGCACACTTGATCTCTCTTTTATGGATGAAACATGGCCTTTTATCTTATTTTTGTCATAAATCAATGGCATTCTGCCGACACACACAGACACAGGAGTCTGATATGTCTTTTACTCTTTAGATTTCACTAGAACATGACCCTCTCGTTTCTCTAGAGGCTTTATATGAGTTCATGAACATTAACACATTGATTTGAAAAATGTACCTGCATTTTGTGATTAGGGTGGACTATGTGTGGTTTTGTGA